CACCGGCCAATCAGGATTGGCAGATTGAGATAGATGCTTCTATCAGGGCTGCAGGAGGCTGCATCCTATAGCGAGACACCTCGTTCATATTATTCTAAGAACTGGGGTTATGTTAGATAACCAAACGTTTTCTTTTAGCCATATTTGAGACACAATAAACATGTGGAAGATCAGAGAAGATCCTAACCACAGTTTTACATGCACTATATATCAGACTTTATAGTGAATTCAGTTACCTGACTGTGCTGACAGATGATCACTACTTTTCTCTCCCCGTTGGTCATGTGACTCCGCCTCCCTGCACGCCATCTTTGTTATTTGGCGACTATGGGCCGCTGTGACAACAAATCCCATAATGCTTTGCGAGGAGAGCTCTCTTTCCAGGATGCTTGTCTAGTGACCATGGATAATCACTACTTTTTAAGGTGCACTGTGGGAAAGTCCAGCGGGTCATTCCATGGAAAGTGTAAAGATTAGACCTCTGAATTTAGAGGTTTTTGATCATAACCTTTTTTTTTTAGTTTCATAGCCTGTAGAACATGTAACACTTGCAATTAAACATATTTTTCAAGCTCAGACACCATTTTCTGCAAATATTTTAGCACATTATATCCAGGGAACAGAGTTTACTTTTCCATCCCGTCACAGGACAAAGATTAACAAATTAAAGGATAATTTTAGATAAAAGGAAGACAAACAAAATGTTATTCACTTCAGAAAGTGTCTTTTTTTTTCTCAAAAAAACCAATAGTGTGTTCAAAGTGTTTTTCTTAATGTTTTTATGTGATGTACAGCATTAATTCAATATGAAGAACGTTGCCACGTATCATAATGATTCCAACCCGTCACAGGCTTTAGTGTGACGGGTAGAAAATCTAAAGCAATATGGCTCAATTTCTGGATATGTTAAAACCTGATGGTGCCGTTAGCGTTGAAGTACAATGAAAAATTAATGATTAATAAAAATATAATTTCAAAATTTGATTAACAAATTGTTTTCCCCACTTTTTGTGTGTGACTGGGTGGATATGCTATGGTTAACAGAAAGGATTTTGAAGGAAAAACGTACCAAAAATGTTCTTAAAGAAAAACCATAACTCACTATTGTTCGGACTTCTGTTCTTCAAACTCTTGAATGATGTCACTTCATGTTGGTGATGTCACTTCTAGGAAGTGTATTGCATTTTGGCGCAAAATAACATTGGTGTGACGGGGTGGAATATGAAATTGATGGACATAGAAAAATCATGCTATTTCAATAAAACAATATGACATTTTATTATAATTAACACATTTCCTATTAAGAGGAAAGTA